ATAAAAATAGTATCTCTAAAATATATAAAAATTGTAAATAAAATAAATTCAATTCCTTATAAAAAAAATAATTCTAAAGTTTTATAAAAATTGTTAATAAATTTAATTCAATTATTTATAAAAAAAGTTATTCTACTAAGAATTATAGATTTGATAATAAAAACAAAAATCCCTGCCTATAAAAAAAGCAATATCATACTTTCGCCATAAAAAATTTCATAAGTAATTTTCAAACATTAATGGGTATTATGTACCAGAAGACTATATAATTTCCAATCATTTCTTAAAGATTTATCAGAAGTTCAATAGAAAATGGAAGTGTTGAACTGAATAAATTAAAGTAATTGATATAAGAAAACTAAAGAACAATTAATTAACTTGAATCATCTTATATAAAATAATGATTTGGCATAATATACTGAATATTTTAATATTCTTCAATATTTTTAATATTTATTGTTTGTTTTGGTAACAGTTGTGGTTTTATACTCTGTGACAGGCTTATTTTCAATTTTGCTTTTGAATTCAGTGAATTCTTTTTGGTAAGTTTCAGGTAGATATTTAGATCCTCGTTATAATTAAGAAGCAGATAAATTGTTTTAGAGTTGAGAATTTCTCACTTCAAAATTCTAGTTGAATTTTTAATTAATTTAATCTAATTTAGTGTTAATAGATTCTTTATTATTAAGAGGATCTTATTAAGAAGAGTATTCATAAACATTAGTTTTTCCATTAACTGTGGATACTACTTATTTCTTTACTTCAGTTGGTTTATTAGTTCCTTTACTTTCTATAGTGTAGGTTGTAGTTTTTTAATAATTTGAGGTTTGTGGTTAGAGCTATTATTAATATTACATTTAGGGCATTTAATAAGTGGTAGGTCCTGAAGGTGGTAATTTCTGTGGTTGGAATGATGATTATTATTATTGTGTTAGTTAATCTTCTAATAAGGTAATTTATTATTGCTACTGTTATAATTTATTAGTAAGATTATTCAACTTTTATTTTAATTCTTCATTTTCATGTTCTAAATCATCAATATGATTATGCAATTAATCAATTTCGTTTGGATTCGCTTGCTATTAATTTGCTATTTCTAATTCTTTTTACAATCTTACTACTTCATCGCACTGTTTTTAATAACGATTAACATATTCAAGTTTTTATAACCTTTCCTCCTTTAAATCTTTATGTACTTTATTTAATTCATTTTCTAATTCGCCTAATTATTAATCTTTCATTTATTTAAATTACTCTAACTTCTATTTTTCCATTTATAATTTTTAAATTAAGTCTTCGTTACCTTAATTCATTGACTTTAATATATATTTATGAATATTCTACCTAATTTTATTTAATATATTAGTATTCTTATTACAAATATATGAATTCTTAATTTTTCAATCTTAGTGCTTCTGTCATTCTTTACAATTCTTAAGTAAGTACTCTCATTCTCTCTATACATCCAGTATGTCTCTCATTTGTTTATACAACTTCTTATCTTTAAGGGGATTATATTGGTTAACTTATTGAGGCTCTTACATTATCTTATCTTATTACTGATGTTCTTTTCTCTTGTTAATAATTCATCTAATTTTATAAAATAATTAAAATAAAATAAATAAAACTTGTAAATCACAATCAAATACCAGTAGTATTTTATAATATATATGTAAAATTTGCTATTAAATCTTTTATGTATTTTTTTATCTCTTTCTATGTCAAATATTTTAATCAAAATTATTTAATCTTGCTTATCTTATTTTTAATAACCAAGAGATTCAATCAGTTAAATCATTTTAGTTAAATCAAGAATTTCATTTTAATCACATACATTCATACAACTATCATTATCTGTAATTGATTCCCCATTCCATAATTCATAAATATCCTTTACACTAACTTCTTGTTTTCTTCAAAATACTGTATTTATAAGGAATATATCAGCATTTGGATTATATTGTACTATTTTAATATCCCTTACTATATTCTTTTTTTTAAAACTTGAATAGATATTTTACCATTTTAAGTACATGGAACTTTCTTTAAAATTCTCTCCATTTATCATTAATCAAAATATACATTGTCATGATTTTATCAAATATTTAATCTAATAATATTAAATATATCTAACCTAATCCTAATTCTTACTATTAATTGATACATTTTTTCTATTATAGAGCAGACTACCTTTTTGCACTTCCCTAATGAGGCTGTTACTAATTTGTTTATTTATTAGGTTGATTCATATAATTTAAAATAAATATTGATTTTGTATATTATAAGATGGAATTGCAAATTTAATATCAATTAAAAACAAGAACTTAAAGTTATACTTAAATTTTATTTAAAAAATGTTTATTGTAATAAGAAATACAATATATAAAGACATAGTTGTTATATGATCAGAAAATACTACAACAATCATTTCTATTTTTAGAAATGCTTTTATTGTCGATTATACCTTCATATCTTAAATATTTAAATCCATAATTAGAAAATGGTTCCAATATTCTATTAATGGTTTCTATCATTTCTAAAACTTTATTATCGATTTCTTGGGTCTCTTCTTTCAGCATTTTGATGATTTATTTCTTTAAATTATTTGTCATATTGAAAGATAATTAAATTCTAAAATATAAATATAATTAATTACTATAACTGATATTAAATTGGTTAATCAGATTCTTCAAGAAATTTAATTTGAAGGATCTAATTGTATTCATTTTGTTTTATATTAGCACAATTATTGCCAATTTACTAATGATATAAATATTATGTATACATAAATCATATCAACTTAAATAGCTTAGAGCATTTTATTATTATGAGAAAACAATACAAAATTTAATTTATTTTTGACATCAAATGGACAAGTATGCCATTAATCTGAGTATAATTTTCGATCATTTAAATATAATTGATAATTATCATTGTTATGGTTATGTGAATTGAGTAGAAGAATTTCATACACTTCTAATAGATTAGAGGATTATTATTTAACTTGTATTTTTTGAATAATTTGAATGTTCTTTTAAAAATGATTGATAAGTTCATCTAATTGAAGTATTTTAATATGTTTTAGTTTAATACTTTCTAATATTTCTTCAACAAACATATTAGCTGTAAATTCAACAGTAATAGATGATCTCTTAAATAATTAATAATTAGTAATACATTGGTTAAAGGAGTTAAAAAGCCCTCTCTAACATTGTTCTAACATTCTTTAATAACTTCATTTAATGGATGATCACTAGTTAATTTTTTAATGAAAGAAACGTTTTCATTAATAGGATCATTCTACTCAATATTTTGTGTTTTAAGAGAGAATAACAGATTCATTTTTTTCTTATTTATTTCTTTAGCTTTAGGTGATAGGAAATCTAGTTCCATAAAATAATTAATAATATTAAAGTGAAATATATAAAATTCATCTTCTTAAATAATCATTGGCATTTTTGTCTCTACCATGATATCCTCTGTCCATCTTATAGTTTTAGTATCTTGAATTTCCTCCACTATAACCACCTCCACTATAACCACCTCCACTATAACCACCGCCACTATAACCACCGCCACTATAACCGCCACCACTATAACCACCACCCTTATAACCACCACCACTATAACCACCACCATTATAACCATCTAAATCTTCATATGGTGATCCAAATTTTGATTAGAATTTTCTAATATTAAAATCATCTTCATCATCTGGACTTAATCCTAATCTATTTCTTCTTCTTCTTCTTCTTTATTTAATATCTTCTATAATTCTAGTATATTTTTCTATTTATTCATCATATTCGTCATCAGGTTATTCTTCATCTTCCTCTTCACTTTCAAATTTTTATTAAGAATTTGGATCTATTGGAGGAATTCTATTTTGATTTAAATAATCAGGATTAGAAAGTGGATTTCCCCTATTATCTGTGATGAATTAGTTTTATGGATTTGGATATTTAATTTCTTATTAATAAGGTTTTGGTATCATAATTTCATATGGAATTTCTACTGGAATAGGTACTTTCTCTAAAAAAATAATAATTTTATTATATTTTTACCTATAATTGTTTAAACAGGAATATATTCTACTATTGTTCTTTCAACAGGAACTATTTCTTCAATTTCTTATTCTTCCATTTTGACTATTTATTTTATTTATGGAATATAATTAACTTTTCTGTCTATTTAAGCTGGTTATGTTATTTACAATGGAGGAGGTTAAACAACTTATTATTAATATTAGATTTATGGTTGAGGTTAAATTAAATTTTAAACAACTAATGGCTGTTATTAATAATTTATTTAATGTTAAGATAATTATCCTTAATTTATATTCTAAATTGCCATTTAATATTATAATGGTATTTATCCTTAATATTATGGAACTCCTGGAAAAGGTAATTAAGTACTTAAAGGCATAAATGTTTATTAAGAATTTTATTATTAAAGTCCAAAATTTGGTTAAATCATTCCTAGTCCCATTTAAATATTTTAACCTAATCCAGTACTTAATCTTGGACCTTATAACTAACCTTGTACATTTTATGTTAACATTTAATTCAATTAATATATAAATTATTACTTTTTGACAGTTAAATGTTAATTCATAATAAAAATCATTAATATAACTTGACTTGGCCAAGTTGTTAAGGCGATGATTAAGGCTCCAGTCCGAAAGGGCGCAAGTTCGAATCTCGCCGTCAACATTTCTATATGTTATTAATTCACCTCTAATCAATAATATTTTTAATTTTATGAAAACCAAGGACATTGCTTAGTCTCTCATTCCAGAAAATAAATAGCAGTTTTCATTTATTTATTATTCTCTATAGATTATTAGATATTTATCTACTCACCTTTTATAAAAAGCCCTCAATATAACCAATCCCTCAAAATCAACCTAATACAAAGAGAAAGTTTTCTATTAAACGAAAAGCAGGCTCTGTTAAAGAAATAATTTAAGAAAATACTAAGACATTTAAGGATCATCTACATTTACAACCTTTAAAATAACATTAATTTTAAAGAGTTCTATCTTAAGATACTAGATGTCAAGATATTCCTCAAGAAATTGCTACAGAAAGACCTTCTCTTTCTAAATCTAATAATAAAAGATACAAAAGTGTCAATCTCACCAAAAAGTTTTAATATTTACATTAAAAAATTGAACCATTAGAAAACAACCTAAATATTAACTAATATCAATCATATAGAGTCAATTCTTCTAATAAAAATCCTATAAATAATAATTTTGAATCTAAATGGAAAAGCTAATTAACATAATTAGAATAAATTAGTTAAAACTCAGAAATTTAGCAGATTCATAATCCTTGCTAAAATAAAACATTAAATAAAAAATTGATATTCCCAAAAGAATTCTCAACTAATGGCCTTTATAAAAAATATTTCGCTTGATTTAAGACTTAGTTTAATTAATTATATTTAAATTATGATCTTCATTATCATACAGATACATATCTGTAACAATTTACATAGTATTAATATCAATGTTTAATGTACATCACAAATTATATATTGATCATGCTTCTTAATTTATTTGGAGCCTTTCACACAAATCTTTAAGGAAGGTAATATTTTAATTAATTCTTGAGTTTTTATCCTTGATAATAGAGCAAGCAACAACATTTCTGCTAGTACCACACATTCTGCCTAAGTCTACTTTACTTTTGACAAATACATATGGGACATTCTAATATGGGTCAATATTTGAAATACCTTGTCTTCACACAATAATGGTAAATGAAGAACAATTTCTAATGGAGTTGTATCAGCAGCAATTATAACTAATTCTGCAATACCTCGATTTAAAGTTTTAGTTGTTTCATTGGCTCCTTTTTTTAACTATTGATATTAATAAGTATTACTTATTTTAAGGCTGCTGCTTATTATGCAAGTTCGAGAATTTAGGGTTCTACTTCTTCATTGGCTAAAGGCTGAGCTCTCTCTGGGTATTCACTTTGCTATTTTTATAGGCATTCATTTTACCATTAGTTATTATGTTTACAAAATATTAAATGTTAATTAAATGTTAAATTTATATTGTGTATATATACTCAATCAATATTAAGATAAATTAGAAATGATATTCTAATAAAAAGTATTGATCTTGTTGTTTATGATTTATATATACAAATATTAATAAAAAAAATAAATATATGAATTCTGTAATTTTAATATTAGCTAGCAGATAAGAATATATATTTCACCTTTAAATACTAGAAGCTCAAATAAATTCAATGACTAGTAATGACCGATGCAATTTGCTCTAAAAATTACAATATAAGATTCTAAAGGTAGAATAGAGAAGAATTTAAATAGAATCACAAACATTATTGAATTATTCTGAGCCAAGAAAATTTTTATAGAAGCTAGTCAAAAAATATATAAAAATCCAAGGTTATTATTACTAAAAATTGCAAGTATTAAGACATGTAAATAGTTATATTTTCCAATATTCAGTTAAAGAAAATAATTTTTGCCAATGCAGAGAAACTAATTATTCAAAATAGCTAGCAATTCTACAATGAGTTCTATTGAAATCATACAAATAATTATTAATCTGTAAAAAGAAAGGTTAGTTCGTTAGATTGATTCTTTAGTTAAATCCGTAAATAGAAATGAATCATTATAGTATTCTTATTTATAATAATTAGAACTGACTTAATCACAAATAGAAATGAGAAATTCTGTTAGGATCCAATTTAGAGTTTGGACTACTTAAATCATATACACATGACATATTATTTGTTAAATAAACCTACATAGAAAAATGATCCTTATGATATAATGAATTTAGATGAATAGACAAAAGAATATATGACATCAGGGTTTAAAAGTTATGTTTGTTGCTTAACGAAGACTAAAAATGTATTTATTCCAATAGAAAGCACTCAAGAAATAACTTTATTTAGATATGAAAAATACTAAAAAATCTTAAATGAGTAAAATTATGCTCTCAACAAAAGAATAATGAAATTCTACTTTAAAAATTACCAAGAAATTTAATGCACTCTTGAAAAACAAATAATAAGTTCAGTACATAGATTGCCAATAAAGTATTAATAAAAATAGAACAAAAGAAGCATTTTTCATAAAATGAGATTAAGTAGATAAGAAAATGAGGGGAGAAATTCAAGAACTTTTTAAGATGGATTCTAAACTGATAAAGAACCTTATATAGGCAATTCTGTAGGATTAGAATCATAAGGTGAAATTTTAACACATTTAAAGAACATTGTACTATCCTCTTCCAAAACAAGAGAATAGAGAGTTAATTAAGAAAATAAAAAATTTATTCTTCGAGAAAGTTAAATTCGAAATGAACATGAGTTAATTCAAAGTTAATTAGTCTTATGTGGTAAATCTATGAGATTTCCTTATAATGAACAAGAGAAGAAAAGAATCTTTAGCAACATCTTTGAAAATAAAGATCATATTAATAATGGTTCTAAAGAAAAATCTGTTGAGTAGGTTTCTTTGCCCTTAACTAAGAATCTGAAATTCTAAAAATTAGGATTAAATAATAAATACCATTTAATAAAAATCAAACAAAACTGTAGTCAGCTTAAATTATAATAATTATAGATTTAAAATTGAATTTATGTTATTCATATGATAATATTGTTGAACTTATGATAACTATTAGTTAAATGAGATTTTTGTTTAAAAATTGAATAATCATAGATTTATATATTGTTTTAATAAATGATATTTATTATGAATATTAATAATTAATATGTAAATCGTAGATAAGAGATTGATTGCTCCAAAGCAATTTAGAATATATCTGATCTTACATCATTGTTTCAATTTAATTCATGGAGTATGGTTTTGTTATTATTATCTTGATAACCTCATAAATGGTAAATTAGAATTCAGATTAGCATGGTTTAGATTCTTATATTTATTTTTTATTTTTATACTTAGTTTAGTTGGATCTGTACTTTAAGTTTTAATAATACCTTAATTGATAACATTAAATAATAAAAACAAGAGAGATTTGATAAATTCATTAAAATTATTGTTAAAATACAAATTGAATTAATATATAGGTATAACAGAATAATTTATCAATTTTTTTTATTTTGGAGGATCAGGATTAATGATTTGGGATATTTTTGGAACTTTTAATGAAGAAATTCAAGTTGTTATGTAAAATAAATAATATATTGTAAATAGATATTTAATTAGGTATTCAATTTATATTAACCTCTTCAAATATTTTTTAGTAAAATACTTTTTAGAAAAGAATCTTGAGAAATCCTTATTAGAAGAGGAATAAAATTAATTCATATAAATTTATTAGTTAAAGGAAAATTCAGCAATAATAAAAGAGGAATGCCCAATTTGTTATGATTCTTTCAAATCAAAGGATTTTCTAGCTCAATATTTATGTGCAGGAAAACATAATTTTCATAAGGAATGTTTAATTAAATGGTTAAAAATGCCATATAATAAATAAAAGACATGTCCTTACTGCAAACAATAGCCATAAGATTTCACTAAAGCTTTTTTATGAATAATTTATTCGTAGTTTTAATAATAACTTTTTTTTTCTCATAAAATAAAAAATTTATAAACAAGCATCATTGTACTGTCTTTAAGTATTAAACTTATTCTCAAAATAAAAATAAATGAGAAAATCAAAAATATAATAATATTAATGTGAAATGCTTTTAGAAGAATAAATTTTAATCAATTAAGATTATAAAATTGTTATAAATTGATATACAGTTTGATTGATTAATTATTATGTGTCTAAAATGCAATAAAAATGATAAATGGTAAGTTTTAAATTTTCTGTATTCTCATATTTTCAGTATATTTAATAATATATTTCTATAAAAAGTAGTTGATATACTTGATTTGAATATATAGATATTTAAGTATTTTAATGCAAATAAATTAATTTTAGTCAATGCTTTAATAGGACTATGAATAAGAAATGTAAAATATTTTAGCACAAAAATTTATTCATTCAAACTTGCGTGAGCCTTTTCTCTCAATTTCTCTTTCAACAAAACTTATAAAAGTAAATTAAATATTCTCGCTTTATGTTCTTTGCCTAGCCATTTTCATAGGGCTGGGAGTAAGTTATTAATCTAGCCAAACAACAGGAGTTTTACCATCTTCTTCAACTTCTTAAATAACAGTTTAAGGGTCGCAATATATTTTAGTTTTGATTTAAGGCTATTTGATTAGAGAGTTTGTATTTACTATATCTGTTTAAGCATCACTTAACAAATCTAGATCATCCATACCAACATCTGGTTCTTATTTTGGTTTTAAACAAGGTTTTTTTGGTGCTTTATCAAAGGTATTAACATATTCTTCATAAGTCATAGAAGAGTTCAATCTCTTACGTTATTCTTCCATAATTTTATTTTTGTTATTTATAAAGATCTTATTTTATTTATTATTACGTAATAAGTTGTGGTCTTTTGATTTATATATTTAACATTACGCTTTAAAATAAATTAAATAGTAATCATATAATAATTAGATAAAGAGCATAATAAATAATAAAGGCATGATATAAAATATCATATTTGAGAGAAAATGAAAATTTAATATGATGTTTAATAATATTGATATTAAAGGATAAGAATATATGTAAATTGAATAGAGAATTGGTGTATAATTTATAAATATAATATAAATAAAGAATATAATAAAATGAGAAAATTGATGGGAGCAATGTTGTTAGCAAATTCATATAGTAAAATAAGTAATTTTGATAACATTATAATTGATTCATACAAAGGATGTCATATGTAAATAAGAAAATTATAAAAGAAAGAGTGATTTAAATAAATATATCAAAGACAGAGGATTATTTAAATAAGATTTATAAGAATTGATAGGAATAAGTAAATGTAATAAGAATACTTCAATTTGGATTGAACTTTAGAAAGAATAATTGGGTTTAGCATAAGTAAATAGATGAAATATATTATATAAAAATAGACATTAATAGAGGAAGGATTTAAGATGCATAGAGTAGCAGGAGATATATTATAATTTTCAAAATGGTTGGGTGATGGTGAAAGTAGATTACCTAGTTAAGCTACACATTATGTTGGAGTAGGTGGGATAGTAGTAAAAGATAATAATGTTTTACTTGTATAAGAGAAGAATGGATAAAGAAGAGGAGCTTGGGGTACACCAGGAGGATTAGTAGATTAAAAAGAATCAATAATTGAAGCAGTAATAAGAGAAGTAAAAGAAGAAACTAATTTAGATGTATAAATATTATAAATTTTATATTTTTAGTGTAAAGTAGAAGACGTTTTATATTTTAGAGAAATGCATGATGCAAGATTCGGTAAAACTGATTTATATTTTGCATTTAAATTATAATGTTTAGATGAAGCATAAATAAAAATATGTGAATAAGAATTAATGGATTATAGATGGGTACCTATTGATTAGATATTAGATGTATATATATTTTATTATATATCATTAGTTTTTGAAAAAAGAGAATCAAAAAACACATGTTATAAATTTCTATAAATCAGTTTAAGAGAGACTTGTAGGACAACAATATAAATATATCAAAATTGAAGAAAGTTAAGAACTCTATTATGGATAAATGAAATATTATGCTATTTTTAAACCTAGATTTTGATTTAAAAAATGCACATTTTATTTTTCACTATTTGTGAGTCTTGTGGAAGAGATATTAAAATAACATAATAAAATAATCTAATGAGTTTTACAAGAATTGGACTAAGTGAAAATAAAAACAATGATAATACTTCGGCCATCTCTAAAAAGGATAAAAAAGAAGCAAAAGCAAACCCTTCTATGTAATAGTTCTTGCAAAAAGGTATGACCAAAAATAAGAGTACATTTTTATTTAATTATTATTAAAAGGTTTATATGAAGACTCATTAACAATTAATGGCATAGAATAATTTGAAAATTATAAAAAGATGGTTAAACTTGAATAGAAAAGAGAATCAACTATTGATATCTCAAGAATCTTATTTAAAGGAACCTTAAGATAAAGATTTGAAAGACTCTAAAGTATCAAAACTATACAGTAATTGACAGCTATTCCTAAGTATTAATTATTTTGTAAGATGTTTCTCAACTTAAACACTATTTTAATCAATTAGACTTTAGCATTTTAAGAAATTGTTTTTTTATTTAAATAGGATTATTAAATAGAATTTAAGATTCAATTTTTATAGTAATTTATATCTATTTGGAGTGATATCTTTCATTTAGTTTGGAAATAATATGAAAATGATAAACTTAGTTTATAAATTGGAATTACATCTTAGTAATTTTAATAAGATGATGATAAAACTATTATATTTTAATAAAAGTTATTGAATTACATTTAAACAAAAGGAGAATGTATCGAATTATCTCCATTACCAAATATGAATAATATATGTTAAGATAATAAACTATAAGATTAAGAATCATAAACTACTCATAAAATAAATAGAGATTAATAATAAAATAATAATACATAATTAAAATAGATTGCATTAGAATTATAGAATTATTTCAATCTTAGAGATGTATCAAATATGTATTTAATTAATGTTGAAAAGTATTTAATAAAAAAACAATTTGATTTAAGTTTAAATAATGGAATAATTAAAATTATCAATGATCTTACTTAAAAATATCCTGATTGGATAGTATTGATTTAAGGTCAAACTTAATAGATGATAAGAATTAATAGATCAATTGATATCAAATAATTAATGCTTGAATATGAATGCTTAGATTGTAATTGAGAACAATTATATAAATAAAAAAAGAACACAATAACATCAATATTATAATTGTAATATTTCATCTCATATATTATTAATCTCAGAATCCTAATTATGTCAACCATTTTCTAACACTCATTGTATGACTGCCATTTATTTCTACTCTTCCAACCTAATCTATTTCTCTCAATCTTATACCTTTTCATAAACATCTGCATTTGAACACACCTTTCTTAATTCTTTTACAAATTCATTAACATCTCCTTCAATATGTCTTATTACTGTTCTTGGTACTTCGCTTCTCACAAAATATTTTTTGTATACTGGAAGATTACCATTCTAAGATCTTAATACTCTAAATGGAGATTCTTCTCTTGTTTTATATTATAATGCTTCTGGTGTTTAAGAATATTACTCTCTCTTTTATTATGCCACTGGATGTAATCTTTTTAAATTTTCTTTTGGTTGTCTTAACACTAGTTATTTTAATACTTAACTTTTATTCATATATTAATATTAATCAAAACTATAACTTCACTCTTCATTATCCATTCATAACAATCTATTCATACTCTCATGCTATTAAATTAATATTATCATTTTACCTCTCCATTTAATCCTTTAGATAAAGTTTTAATTTTAAACTCTTTTGCTAACAAATTCTTAACTTTATAACCCTTCATAAATTACAAATCTAGCTCATCATCCTTATTTTTTAAATTCGATTCATTCTGCTTTAAACTAAAATCAATCATTCAAAAAAAATTTCATTTTTTTGTAATCAATGGAAGTATTTATTTTACATTTTGATTCAGACACTCTAGATTTATCTGCTATTAATTCTTTCAGTCTAATCTTGCGATAAATCTTTTTTAGAATAAAACTGATCTATTCTTATCTCCTTACTAATTATAACAAAAAGAAAAATTTATTTAAAAAATTAAATTACAATTTTCATTTTATTTGCTTAAAGTATTTAAGAATTTATAAAGAAAAATATGATTTTAAAAATAAGTGACAATGTTTATCTTCGATAGATATTAATTATCTTTTATGATTTGTAAGAGTTGAATTTCAAGAAGATTATTTATAATTCTGCAATGCTATTCCTTAAAGTATTTAATTAACTAAAAGTATTAAGAAATTTTTTAATAAATAAGCACTTCATTAATTTTTGTATAATTCACAAAAAAGTTAGTCAAAATTCAAATGTTATTATCAAAACTCTTTATTTAAAAATGTAAAAAGAAGAAATTTCTGAAATTTCCGAAAGAGGCAAGAATTATAAAAAAGTTTTTATTAATGCATTTAAATTAAATCACTTAGAGACCTAATTTATAAAATTAATTTTCTAAAATTTATATATAATTTGTTAATAAATCCTCTACCAAATAAATTTTATCAATCTCTATATATATATTGATAATTATTTATTTTTAGATTGAGGAATGTATTTCTAAAAGTCTTTTTTTGGTGAAATCAGATATTTTTACAATTATTTAATTAATTAAAGAACTTTATAAATTCAATAAATTTACATGTTTTTGTCTATTCAGAAGAAAGGATTATCATTTATTGAAGAATTAATTGCAATGATGATCATATTAAAGAAATAACATTAATTAAAGAAATTTGCATCTGCCATCATAATAGTGGTACCTTACATTTAACTTCTAATTTTGACAATAGATTTGAGATTAAATGAAAATACAAAGAAAGAATCAATTCATTTTAAAATTGTAAGAAATTTAATAAGGCCAGATTTATGGTTAATTGAAAATGGAAATGAATATTAATCCCTAATGTTTATAATTGTACTTATAATAATATTGATTTAAAAAGCAAAACTCATAATAATAGTAATATTATATTATTATTTTTTAAACAAAGACAATCTTTTAGCTCATTTACAAAATAATCTTTATTTTAAGATTCCTGTTGCCATTTTATGTCTCTACTAATAGATAAATACTTATATATTGTATTAATGGTGTATATTAATATGCGTATGCAGTATTAGAACTCTTTTCATTTATATAGATACTGACAAATAATTTTTAAACATATTTCTAATATTTTTAGTTTTAATAACTTTAATATTAGTAGTTTTAGATAATATATTGCATATAAAAGTAATAGAGAAATCTATTACACTGAAAATATCTGGATTGGAAAGAAATTATATAAGTAGTTTGAGATATATATCTTTAATAATAGAATTTATAGTTTAATTTCTTTATATCTTTTAAAAGAGTTCATCTTTGACAATGCATTTATTGATTGGATTATCTTTATTAAAATGTAGTTTAGATCTAATTGATCAATTTAAAAATTATGTTTATGTAAATCAAAAATTAATTTAATTCTTATTTTATGGAATTTCATTTTCTATTATAATCAATAGCTAATTAGAATTAATTGAATTATAGGATAAATATGGTTCAAGAATGATGTTTTAGACACTTGTATTGACTCCTATTTTATATTAAATTCTATTAAAATATTATTAAAGAGATTAATAGTAAAATTTGCTTACAATGTTTAATGAATAAATTAGATCTCCAAAAAGATTTATATATCACATAATTAGCATTTTAAATGAACATTGTTTGGAATTTTGTACTGTTCAAAGATCTCTTATTCAATAAGAACATTATAAAAAATGTAAAAATTTAACATGTTCAATTTGTGGACATCAATACATCTTAGATACTCGATCAGCTTAAGGAATTACTACAGAAATATATAAAGAATTTATATAATCAAGATTAATACTTCTATTAAAGGATTCTTTAAAATTAAATTTTACTGATTAAAAAAGTTGCAAATATTCAAAAAGAACATTTCTCAATTATGTTTATCTTTTATATGATTTTGGATGGACAATGTAATCATTGTAATATTTACATTAATTAAAAAATGCTTAATAAATACAATAATCACCATAGAAAGGAATTAAAAATCATCTAGGCACATTACCTTAAAGCAATTCATATTCTGATAGAAATAGTCATTATGTGATTGGAGATAATTAAACTAATTTTTCTTAGCCTTAGAATATTGATACAAATATTTAATTTTAAATTAATATTTTGTTAAACTAAATTAAATTTAATTTTCTTGAATCAATTTGTATTTCAGTAATATTAGAAGAAGCAAGAAGAACAGTATAAAGAAATTTTGGAACAGATGATTATGTTTAGTAATAATCAATCACTTCTGATTTTGTATCTTAATATTTATTAAATGAAATTTAAGTTTCAAAAGCAATTAATATAATAATCAATATGGCTAATTAAAAAATTAAATGTTATGAAGAAATGTTAAAAATTAAATCAAATGAAAAAAAAATCAATTTTTATGAAAATAATCAGGGTTACTTAAGCTTAATTGAAAAATGTAAATAATTGAATGATGGAGAATAAAAGATAATTTAAATGTATAATTTTTATCCAAGTTTTATTTTGCATTAAGCCTTAAATATATTTTATTGTTTTATTTAAAATGATTATGAAAAAGCAATTCAATTTTCAAGAAGTTAAAAATTCATTGATGAAAGATAATTAAAATTTTTAAAGATTAAGAACTTTAATGTAAATTCAAAAGAGATTTATTATTTAATTATGACATTATAAGATGATATGCAACATTTAAATATATAAAGTCATTCAACTTAACTATTCAATATTTTTGGAACATTTCGAAACATTGGAGAAACTTATCTATTTGAAGATTTAGTTCCATTTATAATAGCAAATTACCATCATCATTTTGTTAGATAATTTTTAGAAACTGGATTATGTAAATTCTTTAAGATTTTTGATATTAATTTCATAGTTTCTAAAGATTAATTTATTTAAGCAGTCTATTTAAATGTTGATGTAACTGAATTATTTTTGAAATCAAATTTAACATTTTCAGCCTTTTTTTAACCTATCACAGAAGAGTTGATGTTTATTTTAGTTGATGAAGTAAAACATTAGTGTTTATTTACAAAAAGTATTTTAATTCAAATTGGTTGGTCTTCTGAATAAATAGAATGGTTTAAAACTAATAATGATATGAATAAAATTACTATAGAAAAAATTATCCCAGACTTTTTGGATATTCTTGAATCTCTTATAAAGTTAACTGAAATCTCTCTTAGTTAAATTGAATTAATCTTTCCAAATCCTCCTGATAGATTACAATAAAAATTAAATGAGTTTTAGACTCTAAAAAGCATTCGAAATAGCTATTTTAGATCAAATACAATTTAATACATAAAATATTATTGTGATCTCACTATCCGAAAAAGATAAATTATAAATTATACTTATTATGTTATTCATATATCTTATATTTAAAAATAATAAAATTTCGAGAGCTAAATGGAGAATTTTATAAATAAATAAAAATCTTATGTGATTGATGAATGTGATTTTGATAGTGAAATAGGTGAATTAGAATTCAAAAATCAAAATTTAATTTTTTAAGAGTTTTAAAAATAAGTAAAACATACTTCTTATAAAATATAAAAAAATTAAAGTTTATTATCTAATTATTTAAATGATCAAATTTAAGAAGAGATTATTAGTCCAGGTAGAATATGTATTACAAATCATAATAATTAAGATTAAAATGAGGTATATGAAATTAAAGAATTACTTAATTCTAATAAAAATAATTAATAATAATATTTTTGTCATGAAGATTAAATGAAAGATTGTTCATCTTATGAATTAATTATTTCTTAATTTACAAAAAAATAAGGAAAATTATAAAAAACAAAAACATTGAATGATTTATCAAAATAAAGTCTATAGAAAAAATATGATATTATTCATAGAATGTTGTAAAAGTCAAAGCCAAAATATTTATTTCAACTCTTAATTTACACTTTCTTACTTTTTTTTTGCTTTTTAATGATAATCATTTTTATAATATAGGAATTAAGTAATGATTTAAATCTTTTAATTAAATAAATTGAAATGCTATAACTACATGCAAATATTATGGGTCCATATGATCTATTTTTTTCAATGAGAATTACTGTTACATCTTATTAAATATAATATATGGAGGGATTCATAAATGCTAAAGAGCTATAAGTTCTCACTGCTCCGTTCTTATAGTATTTGCCTTTAGGTTATTAAGAATTATAGGAAAACTTTTATACATAATTAAATAACCCTTATTTAGCTTAATTTTTAAATGATGTCAATATCCCAGTTTGGTTTATGGGGGAAAATTCTTCTAGAATCTATTCTCAAAATGTTACATTTAGAGATAATCTATTTATTATGCTTTAATATTAACAATAATAATTGTCTGCATATAAATTTAATCGAGCAATTGCTGGTCAGCCATTTTAGATTTTTTTAATTGCTAATTATTTAATTATGTAAAACATTTGTGAAAGTTTAACAAGTGAGATAAAAATATATTCTCAATTAAAATGCGATTAAATTTATTTAAAATGGTTCATTCTATTGACTTGCTTTGTTTTTATTTTTGTTTTATTGTTACTAATTGTATTTTATTACTAGAAAAAATATTTAACATCATATGATCTAATAATAGGATTATTAAGACACAACACTGAGGAAATTATATTAAATGAAATATCAAGATAGAGATCATTACTAAATATTATGTCAGAAAATATGTTAGAAAAATTTCAATTAGAAAAAGAATATATTTAAATTATATAAATCTAAAATTAAAATTTTAATGCAAAATAGAATTAATTAATATATCACAAATTCTCTTAAAAATATCCATAATATAAATATAATATAGCAAACATAACTTTATTGATTTTATTTATAATATATGGAATAATAATTTTTTTGGAGGCATAAAAATATTTAACTAAGTACAATCTTACAACTGATTTTTTTAAACTAATATAAGATTTAAAATTTCGTGGAGGAAATGGTTTTCTTTATAGGGAAATGTTTTTTCGTTTCTCAAGCTATCCATTTTTAACAAAATCAGACTCTGAAAATTTATACATTTTATTAAATAGATCTTAAAGCGTTTTGTAAGAATTTAATTCTATAATTGAAACAATTCACTATGATGATTATTTACTAACTTAAAATTTTATCGATTTATTAGAATTTTTATAAGTAAATGAGATGTGCTCATAAATAAATGAGGTATAGATATAAAGTAATTTAGAGCTTTAAACCTTTGATGGATTAATATTGTATTTTATCATTTGAAGGAATTCTATCAAAAGGAATAGTTTCAGCTCTTACTTATCTTTACAACTAAATCTAAACTCAGTAACAGATGAATAATTTTACAAAAAGAGTAGAAACACATAAGTATGAATTAGAAGGATCTTAAATAATAACAAGAGCTTTTTTTGCCTTATCAGATAATTTTAAGATTAGTTTTAAAGATATTACAGATCAGACTATAAGAAATTTTAATGTAAATATAGTTTATAATTTAGAATATCTCAATGAGCTATTTGATTTTAGGTTGCGTAACATTTTTAATTTTGATTTTATTCTACCCGAAATATTTGATTAATCAATATTAATTGCTGAAAAGAATTGTGTACTTTATACCACTTCAAATTTTCTTGACTGATGGATATTTGGAGAGAAATTTAAAGGAAATACTAATAAAATAAATGTGAATAATATATTTTTAAATTACCTGAAGCTTTCTCTATTTTAAATAAAGAATACAACTTCAGTTTAATTCTATCCACTAAAAAATTCTAAATTATCTGCTACATAATAAACTTTTTCTTAGTTACCTATTTAACAAAATTAATATCTATATTGTCTAAGTTCATTTTTTGTTATCAAAAAATTCTTCACAAAATACAATTGTATTAAGCTTATAAAAAAAATAAGTACCTAAACATAAGCTAATTTTATTTACATCTAGAAATATTAATAAAAACTATTATATTATATTAAAATATATTGCTAAATCTTTTATTTCTCTAAATAGCTTAAAGTATTGAGTACACTACTTGAAGCTTTATGAATTCTTTTTCCAGACCAGTTAATAATTTATATTTTATTTTATTTTGAAAGTCAAATAATTGTGCTTAATATAATCAATAAAAAAAGCTAAATTATAAATCATAATATTTTTTTTGAGAAAATCTATAAAATTATCGTATAGGCTAATCATAGCTTTGATAATATATACATAAAAAGCAAAAAAAGAAAAATCTATTAGATATAACGATAAAAAGGAATATAAATAAATCAAAGCTAAATTAAAAGAACAATTAACAAGATAAATTGTATAACTGAAATTCAAAATCATGGAAGATGTTATTAAAATAACTGTTAAAATTTGAATAAAATATATATATACTTTTCAATGAGTTTTCTTCTAGATCTGCTAATTTCTTTAATCAATTTATGTGGAATAATTAACTTTATCCAAAAATTACCAAGGCCAAGATTAATCCATTGAAGGATAATTGAATCCACCCTAAAATAATTAAAATTTTTAATAAAAATATATAATAAATATCAAATTACAAAAATGGCCAATAATAAAATGATATTCATTTTGAAAAGAATAAATTTTCTTCTTTTTTTATGCAATAAGAATTATAAAATAATTTTCTTTTTTAAATTAACAAAGACAATGATTTAAAAATTTGAATGCATGACTTAAATTCTTAATAATATCTATATAAATGAATTTTATTTGTATAGTCAAGTAAAACTAACTGAAATAGAAGTCTTAATTATATAAATATATAATAAATATTTTATAATAAAAATTTATCTCTAATTATAATAATTACTATTTTTATTGCGAATTATTGATAATTATTATAATTTGTTACACACTAAAAATAAGTAAATTTCTTGATTCAAAAGAATTTGGTCAAATAATTTTGTATTTAAAATTAATTGTTATGGAAAGTATTAATTAACATAAGACTTAGATGGAACAGTAAACAAATGAATGTAAAACTACCAATTTAACTTTAAGGCATATATTAAAATGAAAAAAAATCTCATTCAAGACAAGAATCATAAACCATTTAAAATAAAGATTTCCTCACAGTCACAATAATTGAAAATAAAGAACCTATAAAAGAAATTCCAATTGGTAAACCAACTTATTTAGAGACCTAAAGCTAGAAAGAACTTAAAAGGTTTTTTTATGTAATAAATTCTAGTTTAAAGTTTTGTTATGGAATTTTTAGTTTATTTATTGTAGGTTTTATTCTAGCAAGAATCCTACCATAATTTATATATGATGGTTGTAGAGTTTCTGCTGGTGTCTGGATAATTAGGTATTTAATTAATTATATGTATAGTATTATCTTATATGTCTCGAATATCATTTATTTCAATTTATTAATCAGTAAAAAATTGTTATGTACTTTAATGGTTTGGATGATTGTTAATTGCTTAACATTCTTAGCAGATCTAATAGCAACTTTAATTGCTTTTTAAGCTCCTTTATATTATAATGAATGTATGACTTAGGATTAAATCAGTACTTCAAATGACTGTTAATAAAAAAGAGATTTAAAGAATGCATTGTAAATATATTTATTAAGATATAGTTCTATAATGAATGTATTATTTTTATTAATAATTGGTGTAACTCATGGATGTTATTGTTATAAAGGTTATTAGATTCGAAAATTAATAATCTCTCAGTAAAAACTAGCAAATAACGTTCCAAATTCTGTGTAAATGGAATATTGAATAAATTTTTGTAAATTATTTTTATTATAAATCTCTTTTTATTTCAATTTTATATATTTATTTATATACAATAAGATAAAGATTATTAACGAAATTTAACTGATTTTGTTTATAGCTTTCGTAATCAAAATATATAAATAACTAATTAATTTTTGATATTTAATTTAACCCTTTAGTAATTTTAAATCCAAATATTGATCAACTTCTATTTATTAAAAATTAATAGTTCCTCCTATTAAATAATATTATTATGTTACCCATTATTTAGATTAAGTATCATTTAATGATATATAATCAAATTGTCGAATAAAAGTTATTGTGGTAAACAAATATTGTACTATTGTTTGTATGATTTATATCTATTTATTTAGATTAGTATCATCAGATGAAAACAATTTATTATGTAGATTATAAGTTTCAGGAATATAGATCAAAAATATATAAATCTATATATTAGTAGAAGATTTTTCAATAAATGATAGTAGAATCTCAGTTATAAATATATGAAAATCTCTTGATATATAAATTTTCCAATACGTATTTAAAAAAACATTTCTCGATATTCTTAAATCACTTTAAATATTTTTATTGTTTATTTGAATATGTGAAAATCTTATAGGTGCTTAAATATAAGTCTAGACTTTTTTTAATGAGATTTCTTTATTAAATAATTTTGTTTTTCTTTTCAGATTCAATATTAATTAAATAATCCTCACTTTCCCTGAACTTAACTTCATAATATCATCAGACTCCTAATGCAATTTTTTAACAAAAATCTTAATTCCTTACTTTTTGTGATTTTTCTAATTTTATCTGAGTTCTTTTTTAGATACATCTGCATGTAGAAAATAAAAAAAATTGATTTATAATTATTGCTAGTTTAAATTCTTAAATAGAATTATATTTGATTAATTAATAATAATTCAAATTTATAAAATATATGAAATCAAAACTAAAAGGATAAAGAGTTTCCGACTTGTTTATCTAATTGTTAAAAGAAGTCTAAAGAATTATGAATATATTTATACTTTTTAGTTCATTGTTTGGATTAAAAAGTGAGAATGTACTAGATGATGATGATTATAAAGCTGATTCTTATTTTCCAAATAATCTTTATGTAATTTAACTCTTCATGAATGGAGAATTCAAAAATGATGAAGCAATTTCATCAAGATTAAATACTTTCCTTTCTGTAATGTTATTTTAATCTGAAGTTTATTATTATTATTATTATTATTATTATATTTTAGCACTTGACACTTAACCACTTCCAAAGTGTGTTGAATGACAAGGCTAAAATAATTTATTCTATGGAGTATTGTTAAATGGATTTAAGGAACTATTAGCTATATTAATTGTTTATTCTTCTTCCTTCTAACTGTTATTGGATTTATATTGTTCTTTGTCATACTAAATTTAAGATTTTATTTTAGATTAGACTTATCTCAAATGTTTAGGTACTCCTCCAACACTAACAGGAGTTTTGTTTTCTTTACATACACTCTTTTTCTTTTCCCCTTTAAATTTTGGAGAATTTCTATTATGTACACTATCAAATTAACTTGAATGATGAGATGATCGTTAAGTAACTTATCTTGTACTATTCTCACGTTATGATAAAGGATTTATTTCTGTTTAAGAGTTATTTCTTGGTAAATATTTTGGAATTATAGGTTGTTAATCAATTGTTTACTTTCTTTGTGCTTAATGTTAAGATTCATTGTTAATTAATTGATGATGATTTTCATTATATTAATTCCATAATATTGATTTGCTAAAAAATATCTTAGATTTTACATTTCAGAATCATCTAGGTGATGTTTGAAAGGTACAGCCTTTTTAACATTTTATTACAATGGAATTTATTCAGTGATTTTTGGTGTTACTTTAGGAGGTATTAATTTAGGTTAACTGTGATATTTAATTTGCTATTCTGGTTGAATATGCTTCTCTAGAGAGAGAACTTTATTTCTCAAATTTTTCAATTCTTAATGAATAGACTTTTCTTTGAATGAATCTAAATTAGAATGATAATTACTAGCTAATAATTTAATTGCCTCTTGATTTACATCTTCTAATTTTTGTTTAACAAATCCTATACCAAGTATGACAAGGTATTTAATTAATTTATCATTCTTGATGAGTTTGTATTCTTCTACAAATTTATTGAAATGTTTCAATTCCATTTATATTTTTAACAGTTAATTTATTAAATGCTAAGGGCAACATATGAACATATTATTCACGTAGAGTCATTTAAAAACATTGATCTCTTTAATTAAGGACTATATTACTTAAGATTTATGATAAAATCAAATGGAGAGTAAGCAACACCTTACAATTATTTTGAAAGCAATAATAATAATAATAAAAAAAAAGAATCATGGTAACCTAGTCAAATAGATGAATAATATTTTCAAACAAGAACATTTATGATAAGATTTCAAGAAGAAGAAGTAGAAATAGATGAAAGTTGTATTTTTAAAATAGAAGTATCAGCATCACCACATTATGAACATGAATTCAAAATAATATGTGAATTAATGTGTGCTGATTTAGCTAAAATAGGTGGTCCTTCAAATGAAGAATCATTATTTAAATGTGTTGCTACATATTAAGGAAGAATTTGTAATTCTTTTAAAGGTGTACATGAATATGTTCCAATTATGTTTGATAACAATCATTTTTGTTAAGTTCATTGTACTCTCAATTCTAATCTATAAGATTTTAAATTTCGTTTAAGTGAATTCCAAAAAGCTAATAGTTCTAAAATATCTATTCAACCTAAAACATTTACAGAATTTCTTCATAAACACACTAATAAATTTACTAAAAGTTAAGAGTTTTTTGATTACTATATAGGATAATTAAGATTAACAAGTGAATCACTTTAACAATAAGTAGCTAAACTTTGTGGTTAACTAAAATTATATGATGAATTATCAAAATTACCTACTATTCCTAAATTCTCTTATATACAATATTAAGAATCTTCTATTATTAAAGAAAATATCCATACTAAAGGTAATATTCTAATATCAGATGTTTTAAATTTAAAAAACATTAGAGATTAAAATCTATTATCCACTCTTATAGAAAATGATATTAATTAATATTCCTCAGTTCTTTTTGAATTACAAAATTTATTAATTAATATTATTCAAAATAATTCAAAACAATATAGAATCTTATTATAACAAGATTATTAAGTTAAAATAAAAGATAAATGGGGAGAAACTTATTTTAGAGAAATCATTAAATGTAATTCATTCTCTAATGGTACTTTATGTTAAAAATAACACTAAGATGTAAGTGATTAAATAAGAAGAAAACCATTAATTATGGAACAATAATTGGATATTATTGATGAGAATCTATTCTCAGATTAAAAATAAGCAACAGTTTTATTTGAAGAAATATATTAAATTAGTTAACCTTTGAATCAATAAGAATAAATTTTACATTTAATAGTATTAGTACATGGATTTTAAGGAAATTCATTAGATATGAGATTAATAAAGAATAATCTTTAATTATAATATCCAAATCATCATTATTTAATGAGTAGAGCCAATGAAGATATGACTGATGGTAATCTTTCAGATATGGGTTAAAATTTGGCTAAAGAAGTTAAATAATATATAATAGATTGGATTAAAAATAATCCTTTTCGAATAAGTTTTCTAGGTCATTCAATGGGAGGAGTTATTGTTAGAGCTGCATTACCACATTTAAATGAATTTAAAATTAATATGAATGCTTACATATCATTATCAAGTCCTCATTTAGGATATGGTTATAATAATAGTTTACTTATTGATGCTGGATTATGGTTTCTAAAACGAATGAGAAAATCTGTATCATTATAATAATTAGCTATGACTGATGCTGAATAAATTGAAAACACATTCCTATATTAATTATCAAAAAAAGAAGGATTAAATTGGTTCTAAAATATTCTGTTTGTTAGTTCAGCATAAGATTCATATGTACCATTTGAAAGTGCAAGAATTTCTAAGAATTTTGAAAGAAGCGATTAAGTATCTTTATTTATCATTATTAAGAACTCTAGAAAATATGAAAAAATGATTGATAACATTTTTAATGGAATGAGAGCAACTTAAGTTAGAAGATTAGATGTTAATTTTGTCTTAAATGAGTAAGAATATTCATATTATAATAATTAGAAATCGAACAATTGACAATATGATTGGAAGATCTGCTCATATAATGTTTTTAGAGAATCGATAATTATTAAGAATGTTGGTAACTTGTGTGGATGATATATTTAATTGATTTTAAATCTTTTATGAATAATTAGTTAGTGAATCATTTATTAGTGATCAGCGAATCCGAAGAAAAGTTTTAGCTATCAACAATTTTGATTGTCGGAGTTAATAGCCATCCTGGAGATTGTTATTCAAAACAGTTTTCATTAAAAGATAATTAATCAACAATACTATAATTTTTTCTAAAATTGTGAGTAATAAGACCTTAATTTATTAAAGTTAGAATATCTAAATATTATTAAATTAAAATTTTAATATCATCTATTGTTTTATTGTTAGTTAATTGAGAAATTGTATTTAAGAAATTCTAATTTTGATTAGTTAACAATTATTCATATATAATGTTATTATTAACTTAGACAATAGCCATCAAAGTAGATGATCCAGATAATGATTATTATATAGAGATTGCTTATCTGGGTTAAAAATCATGAAAATCATTAATATCAACGGATTCCATTTATGAGAGTAAATCATTTGTATAAGTAATTTTAGATTATACTAGTTATATTAATTTTGGATCATGTTCTAAAATTTAAGAACATTGTGTATTTTGATCTTATGTGAATAATTCACATTAAGTTGATTAATCTTTGTATAACTTGATATTTTATTCAATTTTATTTTAATTAGTTAAATGTGTTTGACATTTGATTTTATTAATGTAAGTATTGTTATTGAGATTGAAATTGATAACATCTGGATTGGTTTGGATTTGTAATTGTTATTTGGGTAGGGATATTTGATTGATCAATTAATAATAATTATTCATATAAATGAAATATTAGGAATAAATTTTATTTTTTATTAGTGCTTGTGCATTAATCTATTTTGCATATGAAAATGATTATGATAATATGAAGAACAGATATAGAGGAGCGATAGGAAGCATATTATTTATATGTATGATGGGTTCACTAAGATCTTATGATGGTCCAATAAAACGGTTTTAAGGATATTGGAGATTTATGTTTTGGTTAGGAGTATGTTACAATGCTTTTTTGATATTTATAATATTTTAGAATGAAAGTGAAGCAAGATAATTGATGAAATTAGGTGATGATAGTTTAGGCAGATCGGTAACTAAAGATATGCATACTTATGATGATAATTGCGAATTTGAATTAGTTAATATAGTAGATAATTTGGATCATTATTTCTTATTACATTGTTTAAATTGGTTTTTATTAGCATTCTTATTAAGAGATGCTTGGCTTTTAAATTTCTGGTAATTATTTGATGAAGTTATTGAATTATCTTGGCAACATATTTTACCTCATTTTAGAGAATGTTGGTGGGATCATGTGTTTTTAGATGTACTAATAGGTAATACATTATTTATATTTTTGGGATTATGGGTTAGTAAAAAATTAGGAATTGAATAATTTGATTGGTTAGGTAGAAAGGATAAATCCTTTACATAATGGTTAGTTTGGCATGATCATAAATATTTCGGTGCAGCATTTGGTACTTGGTTAGCAGTTACAATTAATTTTCTGACTGGATTTTTCTTGATGAATTAATTATGGGTTCCTCCAAAGTGTTGGATGGTATCTTATAGATTATTTGTTTGGTTTGGAATGGGAGTACTTAGTTGGTAAGAATAATGGAATGATTTAAAAGGAAATTAAGAATAATCAGGATAATGTCGCTATTTAGTTGTTTGGACTCTTTTTGCCGAAACATTTATTAGTATAAAATTTTTAAAAGATGCTGGTAATATTTAATATGTAAATACACCATATTATATATCCATACCATGGATTGGCACAATTATTATGAGTTTAATAGTTTATTTAATAATGAGAATTAAAAATTAAAGAGTTTTAAAAGTTAAGGCATTGTGAGTATTAATTATAAAAATAATAAATAATTATAAATGGATTATTGTATTCGAAAGACTGAAATGACTGATAATAAAGAAGATGATGGTTACTATCCATATTAAATTATTAGTTACATTTGCTAGTTATGAATGGGAAAATATTAAAGCAACTACTGCATCATAATTGCCTACCTGTCGTAATTGTCACACTGCTACAACATTCAAACACTATATGATAATCTTTGGTGGAAAGGAAGGAGAAGGAAGAAAGAAGTTCTGTAATGATATTCATATTTTGGATTTAAAAAGATTAAAGTAATCAATCATTTCTAAAATAGTTGGACATCCTAAATTAAAATAACTGGATAAATACCAGATGTAAGAATGGGACACAGTGCTTAAAATTATTATGATAAGATTATCTACTATGGAGGATGGAATGGTTATACAGTATTAGATGATGTTATAATGATGACACCAAGCGAATAAATGAATATTGTTTGTATAGATTGGTAACACATAAAATCTGAGAATACTCCTCCTAAAAGATAATTTCATACAGCAAACATATGTGGAGATTTTATGTATATTTTTGGAGGAGGAGATGGTAAAATGTGGTTGAGTGATCTTTATAAATTTGATCTACTTAAATGTTTATGGACATAAGTAGAAACAACAGGATAGAAACCTTAAGGTAGATTATAACATAGTTCAGTGATCTATGATCATAAAATTTATATCTTTGGTGGTGAACCAGATAGATCTCATTAATTAAATGATTTATATTAATTAGATATTGAAAACAATATATGGACAAGATTATAACCAAAAGGAAGTACACCATCTCCAAGAGTAAGTGCATCAGCTGTTATGATGAATAACAAAATTTATTTATTTGGAGGATACGATGGATAATAGTGGAGAAATGATGTATTTATGTACAACATTACAGAGAATCAATGGGAATATATTGTAATTAATAATTAAGATAATTAATCTAATTTTCGTGGATAAACTAAAGAGAATAATAATTCATAATAATAATCATCACCACCAAGACCTAGATGTAGACATTCAGCTATAGCATATAAAAATACTATAGTAATATTTGGAGGAAATGATAGTGAGAAATCATATAATGATGTTTATATGCTGAAATAATAGTCAATTATTAAATTAGCAGATTCAACATTGAAATAAGATTATTCAAGCATACTCTTTTCTCCAATATTAAGTGATATAACATTTTATATTGATAATTAAGAAATTTATGCTCATAAAATTATTTTAGCATCTCGTTGTGAATATTTTAAGACACTATTCTTAAATGAATAATTCAATTTAGGAGATAAATTATCTATCACTGATACAACTATAAATGTTTTTAAGGGTATTAAATCATTTAAATTCATTTTTTAGCTATTTTATAGTACATTTACACAGATGAAGTCTTTATTGATTCCCATATTGTTTATGATTTATTAGCGTTAGCTGATAAATATATGTTATAAAGACTTAAAAATATGTGTGAAGATCATTTAGTATTTATTTTATTACTATTTATATAGATTAAAAATATCTCACTTAAAAATGTCATTGATGTAGTTAATTTGGCTGATAAATTCTCTGCATAAGAATTAAAAGCTAACGCCATGATCTTTTTGCTTGATAATAAATAGAAAATCCTCAATACCCAAGATATCAATATGCTATCTAAAGAGATATTAATAGAATTGTTAAAATTTACTAAATGAATATATTTTAATCATATAACTATCAAGTAGTTTATCATCATAGCCAATATCATTAATTAAGGGATAAATAACCATTTCATTCTAAGTTTTGCGATTATTACCATATTACTTATCAAATAAAGGATTACCATTACTAATAAAAATATATTATCTCCACCATTTAATATATTTATTATTGCTACTGATGATAATAAGAAATGAACATTAATCAAATAATTTACTTTTGGCCTTATTAGTTATGCTATTGATTAATTCTTAAACTACTCATATCAATTATATACATCATCTTATTGTTATTATTATGGAATATCCTCTTCACTTTTACATTACTAGTGTTCTTCAGCCTCTACATATTACATCATTATCACCTTCAATCACAAATTAATTTCTTGGCAAATTCTATTGTTTATAGCTATTCATCCTAGTCTTCCTATTCTAATATACATTCTTCTTCCATCTAAATTTTTACAATATTCCATAACCAAATAAAACTAAACTACACATTAACCAAAAAAATTCAATTATCTTTCCTGCAATCATTATATTTTATTAACGAATGAATAAATCACATTTTCTAACTAACTAGTATTTAAATATTTATTCTTCTGAACTTCTAACTTTAAACGTAACTATCCATATAAATATTGAATATCTATGATATAATATTCAAAAATATTTCGATCATATATTTTTTTCTATTTTCTCCAATATTAAAATGACATTTTTAAAATCCTTAATATTTAAACATTTTTTTTGGAATTGTAAATTAAATAAATCTTTTTAAACTATACTCAGAATGTATTCTTTATCGCAGCACACAAATTTCATATCGAACTTTCTATTTTATATATTCATAACTAAAAATAAAACTAGTCAAGATCCATAAATTATGCTTCTTACTAAATAAAATTGACGGTCTGGTTGAATTGATAAAAAATAAATTAAATTGTTTGATTTTTAATTTCTGCTTAATAATGATTGATATAATCAATATAAATTTAATTTATTTTAAATGGGACTGAGTTGTTCTTCGAGCAATCATAGGCCATAAATTTAGAAAATTAACGAAATAAAATTACCAATTATGATTGCAGAGAATTTTATTAATATCATAGGATAATTAGAATTATCTGACGATATTCCTGACGAACTTCGTTACAATTTAAATCAATTAATTATACTGAGGAGTAAACTGGCACATTGTGTTGTTCGTATATAGAGACGAAACTCTCATTATCACTTTATAGAATTAGAAAATGAGCTTACAAACGTAATTAATTTCGTACACATTGTGATTCAAGATTTTTAATTGGAAGTATATTTTCCACTAATAACCTCATACTTAATAGAAGAATTAGATATATATAAATAAAATTCGAAATAATAAGTATAAATATGAGAGTGACAATATAAAATTAAATTTATAAATTTAAAATAATAATTATACAATATTTTATTTATCATGAACTTGCTGAAGAAATATAAGAAGAATATTAATAATCATAATATTCTCCTATATTATTAGAGAATATATTTACAGAATTTAAATAATTTTTTTTGTTTTTAAATTATTTAGATTTTTAATCACCTTTTTTACATATGTATATTAATATAATAATTATATATTTGTAAATTTGTGATAATAAATCTATAATTTAAGGAAATGAATAGTTTTAAATAATAATTTATCCTTGAATTTTAATTTGTATTTAAAATTTTAGATAGTTATGATACTTCGTAAACAATTATTTTTTAAATGAATGCTGATATGAAATAATTTTATTTGTATTAAATACACTTATTTTATACTGAATTATGCTAAGAATTTGATAAATGCAATATATAATTATTGATTAATGTAATAAATCACAAATTATTATTGCTTTCTAAATAATTATGTTCTACTTTTTTTGAGCGTTGAGCCTATTATTCTTTTCTTGCAATTTTTCTAAAATAAGGGTCTTCTTAAAAGGATTTCATTTTGAAATTTAAGGCAGCAGAATTAATACTATACTTAATAAAAGTTGGAGGAGGTCCATCAAATGAAACTTTTCCTACAAAACTATCACATCCAGCACAACATAGATCTCTTTCATCCTAAAATATTAATTAATAAATTATGATTACTTTAATGGCAGATTCTTCTAATTTGACGCTATTTGGAATATGATTCCAGAATTATGCATATCCTGTAGTTGATTTGTATTTAGTATCAAATGAAAATAATTGATTGTCACAATGTTTACAGTGATATATACCAACTTCTTGATTCTGATGAAATAGTTTATTAAATTTACAAACCAATATTCTCCTGTATAAGGACGTTCCATTCCTTTTCCAGCAGCAATCCAATATTGATGTGGAGTAAGAGCTAAACGATCAACTTTAATTAATTTGCTGAATGCTTAGTAATATAGCCGCATCATAATTAAATAAATTATTAGAAATTATAATTATGGATAAATCAAACATTTTCTACTTTGTTCAATTTTATGTACTGAAATTAGGGCGATTACAACAATCAAAACATCTACAATTTTTAGTGCAATTCTGATTTCTTAAAAAACATTCACAATATCTTTTTCTACATTTAGATTTAGTGCAAGAACATCCATAAATAACATCCAATTTGAATAAAGCATCTTTGGGAATCTTTTTATTTCTATAGCATTTTTCATTAACATGTTTAATGGCTTTGCTTCTTTCTAATAAATTTTGTTCATTATTTAAGCATTCTTCTGCACACTGGCATTCTGATAAACAAGTTTTACCACTATGAAAGCATCTACAATATCTTCTAAGACATCCACTATTCTTGCAATTACAAGGTTATTGTTAATTTTCACTGAACTTGTTATAATTTTTCTTTTAAAATTTAAATGCTTATGCTTCTTAAACCTTTTATTTTTGAGGCATATTAACACATTCTTAATGATTATCGTCATGTTCTAAGCATTATTAATTATTCTAACATTAGAATCTTTGATTAAGTTCTTTTTAATCTTGAGTTTGGTCTTACTTTTCATTAGTGTAACTTAATGTTCTACCTGATCTTAAGATTAAAGGTTGTTAATCAGATAAAATTAAGTTAGAGATTTATCTACTCATATTAGGTGGATTGTGAATTTAAGAATTGTTATCGTAGATGATTTGAGGTGATTTAAGGAAATCTTCATATTCATAATTATTCATGGCTTAAAAAAATTTAGGTGAATCCATTAAGATGTGATGTTAAGAGCTATTGCTTTATCTAAACGAAGATTATTTTGATAAGGATCTATAATTTTACATGATTGTCTTATAAATATTAATATTAATAATTAAAAATTAATAATTAATTAATGGACCATTAAAATAATTATACAAAGCAAAAGGATTTTGCTGGTATCTTGTGCTCGTAATATGCCAAGTGCTTTTAAATCGTAATCCGTAGACCAGACCATAAATAAACTCGACACCCATTAAGAAGGTCTTTATTGACCCGAGTTAGAAGATCTATCAAGACATAGTAGTCAACGAGTATCTAGAGGAACATTCAATTGTCGTGGAATCAAATGAAATCGAAGTGCCATAACCATTTATTGAGTGGAAAGATTGCCAATTTCCAAATTAATTGAATAAGCGTATATCACTTAAAGCCTTTTAAAGACCCACTCCAATCTAAGCATCAGGTATTACTTTATATAATTACTTTTAGTTTTTCCTATAATAATGTCTGGACATGATTTAATAGGAATTGCATAAACAGGATCTGGTAAAACTATTGCTTACCTTCTACCTGGATTAGTTCATATAGAATGTCAACGTAAAAAAGGTGGACCTATGATGTTAATTCTTGTGCCTACTAGAGAGTTAGCCATGCAAATTTAAGGTAATAAAAGAACACATATTTTAAGAACATATTTGCTATTTTTCTGAAGCATACAATCTAAATTCAGCCTGTATATATGGTGGAGCTGATAAAAGACCTTAAGAAATGGCTTTAGCAAGAGATCCTGATATTGTTGTTGCAACTCCAGGAAGATTAATTGACTTTTTAGATGCTCAAGTAACAAATCTACATAATGTTACATATTTGGTATTAGATGAAGCAGATCGAATGCTTGGTATTTTATCATCATTATATAATAGACATGGGGTTTGAATAATAAGTTCGTAAAATTGATAGCTATATCAGAGAAGATAGATAAACTGTATTCTTTTCAGCAACTTGGCCAAAAATGGTATAAAATTTAGCATGTGATCTTTGTCACAATGAACCAATTAATTTATACATTGGTAGTCAAGAAGTTACCATTAACAAAAATATCACTTAAGAAACAATATGTTTGTATCAAAATGAAAAATAAGAAGAGTATAAGAATTGAATATCTATTTTTAGAATACTCTACATTTTAGAAGAATTATCTAATAAAGATAAAGTGCTGATTTTTGTTGAAACAAAAAAAGACTGTGAAGACTTAGCCAATTATTTATCAGAACATGGATTTTTTTGTATGTCTTTACATGGTGATCGAACTCAATAACAAAGAGATTATGTCATGAAGGAATTTAAATCTTCAAGATGTAAATTGTTATGTGCTACTGATGTTGCATCAAGAGGACTTGATGTTAGAGATATTAGTTTAGTTATCAATTATGATTTCCCTAATTAAATTGATAATTATGTTCATAGAATAGGAAGAACTGGAAGAGCCGGAGATAAGGGAAGAAGCATAACTATGATTACTTTGGATACTATGGATCCAAGAATAGCCAAATAATTAGTTGATGTATAAATTCAAATTAATTTAAGTTATTAAAAGATTCAGAGTAAGTTGTAAATGATGATTTATATGATTTTGCTTATTCAAGTATATTCTTTATTTCTAACTTAGAACCATATCAAAAGGGTAAGAGACCTAATCAAAGAAAAAAGCCTAATGATAAACCTATTACGCAATCCAAAAATTCTAATTTTAATAATAGTAATAACAATAATAATAACATTAATAATAATAATAATAATAATAATAATAATAATAATAATAATAATAATAATAATAATAATAATAATAATAATAATAATAATAATCCTAATTTCAATACCTAAAAACAATAGCAGAAGTAATTTAATCAGAAACCATCTTCTCCTGCTAAATAATCAACATCAACTATGCCCCCTCCCCTAGAATTGAAAAAAGCATTTTCAGATGCTCCTGTGTTTGGCTTTTTCAATTCTAAAAAAGAATGATATATACATATTTAGATATTAAATTATAGCAATCAGAAATCCTACTATTTTAAACATTTTAATTCAAATACTACGTAATATAGTTTTAAATATATATCAATAATTAAATAATAATGGGAAATTGTTTGAAAGAATATAATTATCGTTCATCTCTCTCTGATTGTTCAAGAAAAGAAATATTTGAGCAAGAACCTAATAATTAAAAAGCATATCGTAAAAGAGCAAAATCAAGATTGTTAAGTTAAGTTTAGAGCATTATTATAAAAGAAGACCCAGAAACAGAATAAGATCAAAATTCATCTTTTGAGCTGAATTCATAATTTTAGATTGAACATAGTGCAACAATTAAGTTTACAAGGTTGCCATAAGGTCTAAAGATGGAAAAGCATCATTAAATAAAATTATATAATTTACATACTTAAAGATACTTGCATTCTCATGCTATCAAACATGAACATAATAAATCAAATGAAGTTAGTACCTGTAACAATTGTAATTATGAATATGATTGGTGGTAAATTATTTGGATTAACAATAAAACTTATATTTATCATCCTATTACTCAAACTTATTTAAAATGCTTACAAACTATAAATGACATGGGAGAAGTTGGTTGTTTACAAAATGATATGGATGAATGGGAAATCATTGCAGATGATGAAGAAATTAAATAATATTCAATAATAAGTATTTATACTTTTTATATATTAGAACTTAAACACTTATGTACTGGACTTTATTTGCATACTTAACCGTATTAAAGTAAGATTGAAAATTAACATATTGTATCTGTCTGTAAACCAGATGTTGCAAACGCTTTATGGAGAATTACAGATATGCAATGATTTGCTAATTATTTATTGTTCTATTCATTTTCTGTTTTAGCTTAGATATTTTTCTTAATTAGCCATAGCCTATTAATCAAAGATCAATCCTTTCTTATTGTAGATTTATTAAATTTTTGTATTTTTTATCTTGTGTTATATTGATATTTAATTTTTATTAAAGTTCTACAAGATTCCTAATCTAATAATTTTCATAACTATTAAATTTCATCTTTCTTTTTTATCTGCTTTAAATAGAAAATTTATATCTAATTTTAGGGTATAATAATAGATATTACATTTTTCTAATATATCCAATTCTTTTCAATTTTAATTTTTAAACTCTTGCCATAATTATTTTGCATAATTGTTTACTAAATCAGGAATCATATATTTTTTACAACAATCTTAAGCAATTCTGATTTGATGGGTCTTTCTATTATGAAAACTTAGTTGAGTTTGGGGTTTTTCAATTTCAGATTTCAAATCTATTAGTATAATAATTTATACAGCAATTTTTTATTTCTATTATTGTTTATTTTTTGTTTTATAGTTGACTTTTAATCCATTTATTCACTAAATTTCAAGTAATATATTTACAGATATTAAATAATGAACTAGATGAGACAAATAGATTGAATTTTAAGAGAGCATATAAAATTTATCAGTTTCATTCATATTTCTGTTTTTAAAAATTTCATGTTTACAAACAAATTAAAAAATTAGAATATTTAGAAATTATTGCATCTCGTAATGTTTTTTTAGAATGAGAATTATTATTTGCAGATTCGAAATTGTGCATCCAGATTAAAAATGTGATTCTTTTTTGATGAGATTTACTGATTATCTAATAAATAGTTAAGTCAAACGCTATTGATTTTTAAACAATATATGTAAATGGTAATCCAATTTCTTCTATAATTATCTCTTATTATAATATCCTATTCTAAAAAATCATCTTATTATATTTCAAATTTATAATATAAGGTTTTTAAATTTTTAGAAAACGAAAAACTTGAGTATCTAAATAATTTATCTAATATTATGGAATTTAGTTTAATTACAAGACTTATCTACATGTAGATACTCTAATCCTAATTCCTATACTTTCTGAAAAGAATTTGATTTATTTTAAAAAATTTATCAGTTTCCTTAAAAATATTTTTATCTAAATTTTTAAATCCCAAAAAGATCTTCACTTACTTTTATCTTATTTAGGATAAATTTTAATTATCCTAATTTAATATATTCAATTACAGCTTGATCAAATTATTCATTACTGGATTTCAATTCAATATCTTCAATAGGAATCTTTTGTTCAACTTATTCTTATACACCATTTTTTCTCAAAAGTTGTTCAAAAACAATTATTTATGTATTAATCTAAGAATTTTCTAAAAATCTCGTTTCTGTTTATGTTAAAGCTCTTAATATATCATATTCAGATGTAATAAGAAAATGTCGGTTGGTTATTTTTTTTTCAAAATTAAAAGATACTAAATCAATTAATTTTTACAATTATAAATTTACGTAATCTCTACATCAAATATCTTTATCAATCAATCCAAACTTCTATTATTTCAATTTCTCTTTCTTTAAAATTAAGAACATCAATAAATATTTATAAATTATTGAAAGATGAAAAATTTTTTTTATGAAATCGGTATCCATAATTTAATCTTTATTTACTTTGTCTTTCTCAACTTAATAAATATATGTTTCCTCTTTTTTTGAATTTGAAATCATTAACTCAATCTTTCCACTAGATGATTTAGTTACTAAACTTTAGATTCATGTACATTCTACCATTTTAAACATAAAGTTTATTACTTTCAGTACAAAATAATTATTAACAACTAATGTCATTAGTATTTGATTTTTTTAAATTAATTCGCTAAATCATAGTTTCATTCAAAGGATCAATTATATAGTCACTTAATTTTATTATTATTAATTATAAATCATATAGAAAATTAAGTAAGGAAATCTAACTTCATTATTTTTCTTCTATCTTTTTGATCTCTAATATTTTATTCTAAACATAAATGATCACTATTGAAAAAGTTAATAATTAAATATTTTTAGAATATGTAGATTTAGATTACCAAATCGTAATTTTTTGTAGCAACCTAAGGAAAAAACCCATTTAACTATAGCAATATGTTAATAGTAAAAGCCAATGTTCTTATGTTGAATTGTTATAGAATTGAATTAATGAAACTTTAAGTATTTTTTATTTAATTCTTTTTTTGTGTACTTGGATTCATAAAAATATTATTATTAAAAGTGTGATCACAATTGTGAAAAATGAATGTATAAGAATATTGTATATATAGAATATATGAATAAATTAAATGCGCGCCGATTTGTGAGCATATATATCTGAAATTCAAAAAAAAGAAGAAAAATTTATCACATAGTTTTTTTTGTTACCTTTTTGTCCCTTATTATTTTATAAATGAGTGATTTAGAAAGTGAGAATGACCCAACCAATAGATAATCAGATAGACTACGAGAAAAGTAGAAGAGAAAGTACAACATGTTAGGTACATTAGTAGGTACAACTTAATGGATGAAGAAAACTACCTATAAGAGTAAAATGGAATTAGTAATGAAAGACGGTCTGCTAGAGCGATCAAGAGGAATTATGCTGCTACAATGAGTGAGGAAGAAGAGTCAATGAATGAACCAACATTAGAAAGTGAATCAAGGCGTATATTCGTTCCTGAGATTGATCAAATTTTGTGGCGAAAAACTGAGTCACATACAGGGACTCTTTAATATTTGGTTAAATACAAAGATCGAAGCTATTTCCATACAGAGTGGCTTGACGAAATGAGAGTATGTTGAATTTATTCATAATGGTCAGATCCTTAACGAGAAGAATGGAAAGTAGAAAATCAATCGATTCAATAAAGTGTTTGATAAACGCATTATGGAAGAATTTGATGAAGTAGTTGAAACTTAGTACTTTGATCCAGCATTTCAAGAAGTTGATCGAGTATTATCATGTACAGAAATCTTTCCAATTGTTCATCCAAAAAAAGGATCAGAAATGAAAGGTAAGTGGGCAGAGAGTCTTACAAAAGTTATCTCTCATCTACTAAATTTCAGTAGAAATCAAATTCATTATGGAGTATACTTTTTAGAGAGTAAAGCTATCCTTGATTTTGGCACCATAAATAATCGTTTATATTTGGGATAATACAAATCCAACAATGATTTTTGGAATGAATTAGGAACAGTCTTTAAAAGTGCCAATTAAGAATTTTAAGAAAATAGTGAAATGAGATAAATTAGTGATACACTAAGAGAATGTGCCATAGTTCTTTATAATTAATGGTATGAAGAAGCAAAGAAAAATTATGAATAAAAATTATCTCAACAAAGGTACATCAATGAAGAGGCATACAAAAATAAAATTAATGACGCTCATAGAAAAGATATCATGCCTGAATTAAAGAAAGAAAAGATCAATGAATTAGTTCTGAATGTGTTAAACATTATTGATGAAAAGTAATACACAATTCAAGAGAATCTACAAGAGATTGAATCTATTGTATAAGATTAATTGAATCTAAAATTAGAAATAAAAAATGAAGATTTTTTTGATTTAGAAGACTATTTAAGATCTTAACTTGAATAAAATGATATTGACGTTGCTTAAGAAATGTAATTGGAAATGCTAGATTTTTAACAATAAATGGATTGTGTAGATCTAGATATAGAATCTTGGAATCCAGGTGAAAAATCTTTTAATTGGTTATAAATGGATTAATTAGAAATAAATATATTGAGTGATTAAGAAATAAAAAAATTATCTTAAGAGCCTGATCGTTTATATTTGGTGAAATGGAAACATTTATCTTATTTAGAAGCTACATGGGAACCTGAATCTTTGATAGATTGTAGATAAAAGATTTAAGAATTTAAATAATTCAATAGAAGTTTAGATAAGGAAACAAGAAATTTAATGATGAAATAAAATTAAAATCATAAAACATTGGTAGATTTTGAATTAGGAATTCGAAAGAAGAAATTTTCAAATCATTAAATTGCAGAGATCAGAAATGAATTATACTTTCTGAATCAAAGAAAGCCACCGCATGAATATACATAATTAACATAAACTATTTACAAAGATAAAAGATTATTGAGAGATTATTAACTTGATAGTTTGAATTGGTTAATAAGAGCTTGGTATGAAGATAGAAATGTAATTTTGGCAGATGAAATGGGATTAGGAAAAACTATATAGACAATATCATTTTTAAATCATTTATATAATTTTGAAAATTATAGAGGGCCTTTCTTAATTATAGCTCCATTATCTACATTATAACATTGGAAACGTACTGTTGAAGAATGGACTAATTTAAATGCAGTACTGTATTATGATCAAGAGAGTAGTGCTGGTAGAGCATTATGTAGATAATACGAATTTTTTTATACTGATATTAGTATGAAAGGAGTAGTACTTTAAGCATCAGAAATACACAAATTTTAGATTTTGATTACTAGTTACGAAGTCTTTATGTAAGATTTTTAGACCATTTTCATTAACATTCCATTTTAGTATATAGTAGTAGATGAAGCACATAAATTAAAAAATTCAAATGCAAGAATTTTATAGTCTTTAAAGAAATTGTGTTGTTAAAGAACATTATTATTGACGGGAACTCCTATTTAAAATAATACTGAGGAATTATTTAGTTTGTTAAACTTCATTGAACCATATGAATTTTCAAATTTAATAAATTTTAAAAGAGAATATGGATAATTGGAGACTTCTGATTAGGTGGATAAATTAAATGTATTATTGAAACCTTATATATTGAGAAGACAGAAAGAAGATGTTGAATAGATGATTCCTCCTTTATAAGAAACTATTATAGATATTGAAATGACAACAATTCAAAAACATATCTATAAGGCATTATATGAAAGGAATAAATCAATGTTAGAATAAGGATTTTCTTAATGGGCTGCCAATGCTGCTTCATTAAATAATTTAGAAATTC